TGGCATTATTGCTTTGCTTGGTCAGAAATGATTAAAAAAAAAAACCAACAACAACTTAAATTAGGTTAAACTGAAGAAGGCATCTATATATAAATCCAGCATTTCTTGCAACAGTTGAAACTTTAACAGTACGAGAAAATCAAATATTGGCCATTAAAAAAAAAAAAAAAAAAAACACTTTTTTTCTAAAAAGATAATGGATAAAGATAGAAAAAAAAGTGAGTAAAAAGGCACAGATAGACCACTAACTTTCCAGAAGTAGATGGCCAGGTACATTTTTAATACAAAAAAAAAAAAAAAAAAAAAATATGAGTTTTACCAAGACAGTAAAATTCTCATTTTTCAGCCTATTATGTTGTGTAAGAATAATGTGCATATAGTGTACATATCAGGAAAATGTACACTTCTTATCCAACCCCAAGACTAAATACTGCAGTGGATGAAGGCTAAGAACTGTCCACTTTGTAGGAAGATATATCAGCTGCGGTTAATTTCTGGCAAGGTTCTTAAAATGTTTATTAAAGCATTTCATTTCATTTTATTCAGACTGCACATTTTGCACTGCTTTGATCACCACTTCCCTCCATATCACAATTGTGGTTCATGGTGACATTCAAGATAAAATATTGCAATGGCTTGCCAGTTCCTTTTATACTGGGAATGTTGATGTTACCTTGCCCTTCCTCTCAGAAGTGGGCTTGTTTTAGAGGTTACCTTTGAGCCTTTTGTTTAAAGAGGCAGATCCTTCAAGGCAGCAGGTAGTTTGAATTGTTTCCTTCTCCTAGACTGGTTGTCACCTAAGGCTATAGAACCCACACTGTCCTGTTATTTTACCCATAGCTAGGGAGAAGAGATGGATTCATACCTTTCTGAAGTTTACTAGCACATAAGTGAATGTAATGAACTTGACTATCTGATTCCTCAATTCATTACTCCACTTTACCTCCTCTAAAGCATTTACCATGAGAAATATTTAAGTTTTTAACAATCCTCATACTTCAAAAATACAAGACATGCATAATTAGAGGATTAGAGGATAACAGTCTTGATTTGGCAAAAATCTCAGTTCTGGAATCAAGGATACTGGACCTAGCTTATGGTCAAATCACACTGAAAACACGGGTTTTCATTTGATCATCAAAGTTAAGTAATGCTGCACTCGGTCAACACTTAGTTGAGGCACCACCAGCTACTGTAAGCAACTTTCTATAATTTGAATGATTCACAAAGGGTTGATATTCTCTATTAAAAAAAAAAATCAATACTGGATCTATATGTCTAAGACTAAAGTACTTCCATATTGAAGAAAAATAAACATTTTGAATAATTCTATGCTAAAGAGTAGACTGAGCTCTCTAGCATTAGTAACCAATTTGGTAAAAAGACAACTCTAAATTTAAACCAAGAGTGGAGCCTTTTGATATCCCACAACTATGAGTAAACAGTATGACAGCCAGAGCCTTGTAAAGCAGTTCCTATTGGGCATTGGATGAACATCCTAGCTCAGTGAAAATTCACTGACAACTGGAATTGGAGTAGTATCACTTGGTATGTTTGTAGCTGGAACACCCAGCTAACTTTGTCACCATCCTGAAACTCTCCTGAAAAGCAACTTTAACTGTCTCAAAAAGTTTTAAACTGTCCTGAAATTAAAATGTCTTTTTTTAAACTTTATTATCTTTTTAAAGTTGTTAGTAACACAATTAAAGCACCATTAAAATGTTTAGGAAATAAATTTAAAAAAAAAAAAAAATTATTAACATTTGAAAATGAATACATATTTTAAATTAGTTAAATTTTGAACATCACCTTGAATAAATTTAAATAACCATTAACCATGAATAATCTTACATGAAATTGTTATTAATTTTTATGCTCAGAGTACTTTTATCAGAACTTAAGAATTGTTTTATCCATTTATTTTCTGTATAAAAAGAACATTAGCGCATTTTAAATGTTTAAAGTACTTTATCATTATAAAAACAAATTCACAATTACCTGTCTCTGGTCATGACTAAATTTTGCTCGTTTTCATTCTTATCTCTCTTGTATTCTTAATTCATTATATGATAAGCTGAAAACATCAGACATAAATGTTGTTTAATTGTCCATTTAAGATTTGTAACCAAAAAATAAAAGAAATAAAAATGCTTTGTTTATTAAAGTAAAATTACTTCTTACAATTAGATATTAATGTTTTTCACTTTTAGAGATAAATAATACAAAAGCCCTTCAAGTTTTATTTGAGTTTCAGTCAAAAAAGAAACAGTGAAGTCTTATTTTTTTGTGTGCATGTGGGTGATTAATTTATTTAAAGTCCACTATTATTGGTAAAAAGTAAGAAATGTTTCTATTTTGAGAAATTGCTTTTAGAATAAATATAATTTAAATTAAAATTTTTTTTATCATCCCAGCATCGCTCCAAAAATCTTAACCAGTCATCCAAAAATAATGTTCTGTTTGTCCAGAATTATATTAAATTCGAGCACTGAAAAAGACAATTCTAAATTCAAACCAAGAGTTGACTCCTTTGATCTCCCTCAATTATGAGTAAACAGAGCTCTTTCAAGTATTTAATTCCAGGCATTGATTGAGTCTCCTGGCACAGTAAGCCTTCACTTACTCCCAGAACTGCAGCAGCATCACTTGATATGGTTACAGTCCTATGTTCTATAAGGAGTTTGCAGGAATAAACAAAGGAAGTAATATTGATAAGAAATTTGTTTTATGGACTCCAGTGATTAATGGCCAACTCATTGAGACTATTCAAATAAATCAAATTACATGCAAGAAATATAGAATATTCAACAAAATACTGTCTCATTTTTTTTTTATTCAGTCTAAAAGAAAATACAGCTTTCAATTTGAACTTTTCTGTTCCTTTTCTACTATTTTTTGTACCATTTCCAAGAGTTCCTCTTTGCTTAAAGTATAATTGCTTTCTTTCCAAATTTCCTTTAAAGAATTAAGAGTTTTATTAAATATAGGACCTTTAGGCACATTCAGTTCCATCAGGTGATAGCCCGTTACAGGGAATCTAGGTGGGATCCAATTATCGAAAGCTTCAAATATATCCTCCCTACCAACATATTTCAGCAATTCTAAAATGCGTCCTTTCAATTTGGGGTCCTTCTGAGAAATCAGGAGGTCTTTGTAGTATTTCAAACCATCACCTGTAGGTACATCATCCCGATGTCCAATGATAAAAGCCCCTAACTTGAATTCATCATTAGACATTTTTACTCTGTTGTTAAGTGCTACAAGATCGTCTTCAGATTCTAGCATAGAAGCAATTACAGTCATGGGTTGCGGAGAGAGATGCTTACATTTCTTCCACACACTTTGCACTTGATCCATTTCAACATTCCTTGTGAAACCAACATTTGCCAAGACACCAAGATGCTGCATTTGATCTAAGATTGTAGGCACGTGATTTTTAACAACAATTTTTTTTATTTCAATCCAAATTCTTTCACCAGAAATTCCTGCTAATCCCTGAGCATTTTCTTTAATTGCTTCCAGAGCATCTTTATCATGACTACAGGCTTCCAAAGAAATTCGACCCCAGAATCGAAAATATCGCAAGATCCTCAAATAATCCTCTTGGATTCTTTGTGAAGGATCACCAACAAAACGCACAACACGATTCTGTAGGTCTTCTTTTCCATTAAAATAATCATAAAGAGTGCCTTCAAAATCTAAGAACATGGCATTAATTGTCAGGTCTCTGCGATTGGCATCAAGGTGCCAATCTGTAGTGAACTCAACTTCTGCATGCCGACCATCAGTTTTGGTATCGATCCGAAGAGTAGTCACTTCAAAATTCTGGTTATCATTTACTCGTGCTGTAATAGTTCCATGTTTTTCACCTTTCATGTTGATCATTCTTACCTGTTCAGTAATAAACATGTCTTTCATTTGCTGTGGAGTTGCTGTTGTTGCGAAATCGATATCATGTGGAACAATTCCCATCAGCAAGTCTCGTACAGCCCCACCAGCAATTCTGATTTCATAGTTATAACGTTTGAATAATTTAACAAGAAAATTCAAGTCAGCAGTAAACAGTCCAAGGTATTCTGGAGTGTCAACTTTGGACATAACTAACTTCCCCATTTTTCTGTAAACTGTTGGTCGATATGTGCCAAAGGAACACTTGCTTATAATGATGCTTGTGTATAGAATGTTCTTGAAAATATTAGTATGCATTGTAGGTGATTACATTTTGAATCCATAGGCTGAAAAATAAAAAAAGATTAGATACCACAATAGAATAAGAAAAACTTGTATGAAATTAGATGTTGTTCTACTCAAATTCACATTCTCATCTTGATTTCTATAGTCACAGCTGTTGCAACTCCACCCCATGGCCTTCTTCAGCTATCTGTTGTTTTTTGATTGACCGACTTGTTTTTTTATGGCTTATCAACTCTTTGCAGGTTATTTAAAACCAAAAAAATATCTTTATATTTCAAGAATTTGGGAGGGAATAACAGTTTAGTGATACCAGTTTTACTAATTAACCCATAGCTGGGAGGAGAAAAGGTAAATTCATAAATAATCAGAATTTGATAAACAAGAAATTATGTAGATAGATGGGGGGATCAATTCTATATTACAATCAATATATAAACTGATCCTTCATTTGTGGCCATGGGAGTTACTATACATTTATATTTCATAGAATGTAAATAAATCTAAAAGACACGCCTGTGTAGGTATTCTGTATTTCATTGATTGATTTGTTTTCTATGGCTTAACTCTTTGTACTTTATTTAAAGCCAGAAAATATTTTTAGATTGTAACAATTTTGGCGGGAGATAATAATTGTTCAGTGATACAAGTCTTGCTAATTAACCCATGACTGGGGGAGAAGAGGTGGATTCATGCCATTCCCAAGGGTATTTGCACATGTGGATATAACGAACTTGATGGGAATTGAAATTCAGCTCTCCAATTAACAATTACAAGCTATTATCCATTATACCACCTGCACAACCATGCTTACAGCACCTGGTATTCTCAAGAGGTCACCCATCAAGGTACTGACCAGCTTTGATATTGCTTAACTTCTGTGATTGTATGGGAATTGGTGTTTCAATGTGACGTGGTTGTAAGCCTCAGGTATTTGTTCCAGTTAGAGAACTATTCTATGGGGACAAACAGTTGGTTAAGATAATATAGTTAACTAGTTCAATCCCAGAGTTGGGCAGTCATATACTCTAGTTTAATGGAAAAGAGAAATATCCTTTGGTATCAACAACAGAACGAGAACAATCTACCCTTGTGGATTCAATAAAAGATTTGTTTCAAAATTCCAAAATTACTAACAACAGACACTTGAAGAAGGGTACAATGTCCGAAACATTGGGAATATCATAACCATGATGAGAACACAAGTAAATCAGTGTATAATAATAATAATAACAATAATTACTCATTAAAAAAATTCAGACAAAAAAAAATATTACATGAAATTTGTTCTCAAGTATATCATTTTGCAGACATGCAAATTCATAGGATCTTTATCAAAGTAGACAACAGCTCAACAACTTCTATTTTATATAATTTTTATTTTTTAAATTCTTTAGTATACCACATTTGCAGGTCAGAAACACTAGAATCAAGCAGACACAGAAGTTTAAGTATCTGGGAAGTGTTTTGAGAGAGGACGGTAAGTACGACACTGAGATCCATAAACGTATTGGGGTGGTCAAGAATGCATTCCAAAAGCTGGGCAAATTATTGCAAGACAGGAGGATTTCTTTGGTAACAAAGAAAAGAATAATACTGAGCTGTTACATGACATCTGTCCTTCTTTATGGCAGTGAATATTGAATAATTTCCTCAAAGATGAAAAAGAGACTCAAGGCAACAGAGATGTGGTTCTACAGAAGGATGCTAAGGATGTTATGGACCGAGCGTGTGAGAAATGATGAGGCCTTAGAGAGGATGTAAACAAGGAGGAGGCAGCTGAAGTTTATGGGACATGAGGAAGGAGGGCCTGGAGAATCTGATACTCACAGGCTAAATAGAGGAAAAAAGAGAGAAGGGAAAACAATGTGTGAAATACCTGGTGGGCTTAAGCAAGTGGATGACAGACCCTGGTCTGGGAGAGGTAGCAGAAGTAAGGGACTTATTGAGAGCTGCAAGGGATAGAGGGAAGTGGAGAGCCATGGTCATCTACATCTGAAAGGATATGGCACATAAAAAGAAGTGTACAAGGGAATGCTGAAAATTCTCACCCTAACTAGTACCAAAAATTTGACAAAATACCAATGTTTTTTTTAGTTATGCAAGATTTTTTGGGGGACAAACTTTTTCAGCATCCCCTTGCACACACATAATAAACAGCTGCTTGGATTGAAGAATCAGAGAGCTGGGTTCAAATTCCAGTCCAGTTTGTTATATTCACTTATGTACTCTTGGGAAAGGTATGAAACTATCTCTTCTCCTCCTATCCAGCTATGGGTAAATAGCAAGACAGACTGGGTCCTATAGTCTTGGTTGGCAACTGGTCTAGAAGGATAACTATGAATTCAAAACTCCAACTATGGGTTAAATAGCCTCACCAACCTGCAATTGGCCAAGCATGGTGGGAGTATGGCCACATTCCTGAAGACATTCAATCAAGAATGGGGTTCCTCCAAGGAGTGAGATGCTTCTGGCTCTGTTCTACTAACCTTTCATCACTGGTACCTTTTACATATGGGTGCATATATGAAATGCCAAGAAGATTTGGGTTAAAGACAAATTGAAATTTTTTTTTAAGACTTTAATGCTTTTATATATAAAGGCACACACAAATTTCATTCCTAAAACAATTTTTAAAAAAGATCAGTGTATATTTCCTGTCAAGAACAAATGAGATACAAGGTCTTTTTACAGTGAGGTCCATGGCACAAAATTCATGGTTACGTTGCATGCCATCCAAACAATTACTGTAATCTTTTGTGCATAGATTGCTAGAAATTACAGGGGTGGAGGGAGCTTATTTTCATTTATAAAATGCACCTGATTTTAGAGCAAAGAAAATGATCATAACTTCTGAAAATTGAAGAGAAAAGAAACAAAACAAAACAAAAAAAAAAAAAACTATTTTATTTACTTTTGGGATTAATAAGTATGATGAAAACATGATAATGACTCTTGGTGATAAGACCACTAAGATGCTGATACACATTGAGAAAATAAAATGAAATATTAACTTTTCATTTTTTTTTTTGACAACGTTTTGAAACTATTTGTGTATTCCTGAACAGGACTGTTTGTGGGAAATCCAGGACATTTTTCTGTGTTCATGAGCATCTGAGATCGGAAAATTGTCCTCATTGGACATGTAGAACTGATCCAATTCTTTCTCTGTCAGTTTAAGATACAGATTTATGTAGACAAGATAGTCATCATTGTTGGTTTCTTGTGGTACCTCTGTTGACCAACATTTCTATATGAATTTCTTGTATAGGATGTCATTTTTGGTCCTGTTCAAGATGCATCATTTTTAAAAATTTTTTGACAATCATATCAGGACCAAAGCTCTGCTTTTCTCATTCTGCTTCCCAATGTGTAGATGTGAGTTATTTCCCTTCGTTGCAATATACCATTACATAGATATTTTATCTCTAGTAAACAAATAAATCTATTTTGACCTGATTTTGTTTGTTTTGTGTCCTGGAAAAAAAATGGAATTAAACAAAAAAAACAAAAAATCCTATGTCTTATACACACAATATTACAGTAGTCTTAGCTATTGCTGCAGGTATCAGGGTAAATCACTCTCTCATTACAATGGAGTGGTGCTGTCAAGGGGATAGATTCCTGGGCACTAAGGTTCAGGAAGGACACACATTTGTACTAACTGTAATGTTTGAAATCATTTTGAGGCATTTATTGGTCATATTCATGATTTTTTATGTGATATGTCTTAAGCTAATGTTGCCATTTATAAAGGTTGCAAAATTTTCCTTTTTTTTTTTTTTTTTGTTGAGGATTAGTCCATGAGTCTAATGTATTAAAGAGAAAAAACACAAAATGCCCCAAAACAATTATGGAATATTTAATGGAGTGAGGAAGGGTAAAAAATTTACATTTTTTTGTAAAAACTCATTCACTCACTCATATTCTATATGAAGTATTGGGTGGGGGGAGGACACAGCATTGACAAACTGTGTTGCTGCTGTTTCTTTAGGAAAATTTTGTTTTCACAAAGTGAGGTTGGAAGCACCATACCCAACTGCTTTTGAGGTTGTTTTTCTCTTAACTTCTTCCCTGGCATAGACGTGTATATATGTTTTTACTGAAAGTGTCTTTTTCAAACACAGATAAATAAATACCTCTGGAAAAAAAAAAAAAAAAAAAAAAAAGTTCAAAAACCAGCTACAGACATGTTTATATGTCAATCTTGATTCTTTTTATGCCATTCTGAGCTTGAAATGAGTCCAATTGTCAACTCGTACATCTGGTAGAGGTGTTAGCCACCATTCAGGTACTTCAAGGTACCTCAGTTTCTTAGTTACTATATTAAAAACAAATAAAAAATTTATCTGAAAATAAAATTTTTTCCAAAATAATTGCTGTTTTCTGAAGAGTTCAGTTGACCCTACTATTTAACCCACAGCTGAATGGAGAAGAGATGTATTCATACCTTTCTTACGATTATTTGCATGAAAGCAAATTTAATGAACTTGATTGGAATTCAAACTTGGCTTGTCATTTTCTTGTTCCAAGCCACAAACCATAATACAACCTGCACATTCTTGTAAAGATGAAAACATTTATTGTTTATCTTTACTGCATAATTTAAAAAAAATGAAATAGTTTTTTTTTATCTAGTCAAGCAAAATAAGATTATGATGCACTTGTTAAAGCAAATATTTTTTTAATCATTTCATTTCATGCAAAGCAATAAAGCCACTAAGAAGCAAAGGGTTAAAAGAAAAAAAAAGAAGAAAAGTATGAAAGAATCTGAGAAAAAACATTATGAAGGAAAGATGCCAATCAAAGAACAGAAATTAAGGAGGCAGATGATGATGCATTTAAATTTTTGAAGATCAAATTTGATTAGAAAGCAAGAAGCCAGGAGAGAGTACCACAAGCAAGAAATGTGAGAGAAGAAACTGTTAGCATAGAACTTAGTTACATTTAGCCAATTCAACTGTAAAATGAGAAGAACTTGCCACCAAGTTAATACTGTGCTTAAATTTTGCCTTTCATTATCTTATTACCTGTCCCTTTGACCTTCAGCTGGCAGGTCTGAACCTTTATGACTTTCTTTCTTCTTCACCTCATGTATTTCTTTCTTTATTATTTTTCTTCTTGGTTTCTTTTCATTTTTTTTTTTCTTCCAGCTTACTTATTTTCTACCATTTCTTTTTCACAAGTCATTCCAGCTTCAGCTTAACTATGTATTTTTTTTTTTTATTGGGTTTCTCGGTCAGAAAATTATTTCTTTAGAGTTTAGAGCAAGGAGTTCTCAACTGGGGTCCATAGGCAAAATGTAACAAATTAGAGGGTCCACAATGATATTTTGGTGGTCCATGAAGAAAACCAACTCAGAATGGTTTTTATTATTAAAAATTAAATTTCTACTGTAATTTACATTACATTGAAATATATATATATATATATATATATATGTGAATGATTCTTTCTTTTATATAGGTACCTCCACTGAATTTTCAATATCTAAGGTTTAAAATTAATTGCTGTTATTGCTTTTCTAACATCTTGTTGAATTGGAATTTAGTTGTGTTTCTCAACAGTTATCAAAAGTTCGCAATAAACTTGACATTGTGAAAAGAGGTGATCTTTGACTACCATTAACATTGATGGAAGCAAACATAAAAAAAAGCTTGCTGAGCAGCATCAACCACCGGAATCTCATTGAATAAATTGGCCTCTCTTTTCTTTTTTTTTAAAATCACACACTTAAATTGGTTTAATTTTAAGTAGTGTGCATAAATAAATTCTGCAGTGAATTCAATTGCCTGAAGAGCTCTATTCTCCATGGGCTTGACCATGGAAGTGACAAAGATATTGGTAAATAAAAATTACTATTGTAGAATAATTTATTTGCATTAAATTACTTTTCATTTAAAAATGAAGCTTAATTAATATTTCTTTGATTAATCATTATTAAAACCTCAAAATTTTTATTAGTGAAAAATAGAATATTGTTGTCATATGTTAAATAACTATTAAAGGGTCTACCAAGAAAAACAATAGAGAAGGAAAATATTGGGAACCATTGGTTTGAAATCCAGTTCAAGAAAACCGGCGTTCGGGCAGATAACTGTAACACACCGAGGTTGAGAAGAGAAACAGTTTTTTGGACATGTACAATATTTAAACATTTTTTTGCTTGTTTAAGTAAGTTATTTCTTTTTAAAATTTTGGAACAAATATTATAATTCAAACAAAAATTATTCTTCAGGAAAGACAAAGTCAATTTTATAAACTATTATTATTAACCAATAAAAATAAATAAGGAAATTAAGGACGTCTTTCTAACTAATTTAAAGTTGTCCCGTGAGTTTATAAAATTTCCAGTCACTCAAATAAAATTTGTAAGGTAAACTAGAAATAATTAAAAATTCATTGTAAAATGATAGCAAACTTTAAGTTTCTTTACTAATTTTAAATTTTTAACAAACGTATGCGAGTGCAAAAAAAGAAAAAAGCATTAACAGGATTTTTAAAGGAAAAATGCGTCTGGTAGTTAGTTTTCATATTTGTAAATATTATAAAAGTTAAGGTTAATGAATTTAACTTAAATTCAATGTTAGTTGACTTTTTACTTTAATTATTTAAGTAAAAAGTCAACTATCATTGATGATCGTCTACTAACTCAGTAAAAAGCACGAGTTCAAGAAGAAAAAAACATGAAATAAAAAAAAAAAGTGAAACATTTCAGAATAGACAGATTAAAAAAAACTTACAAATGAGAGTTTCAAAAAAGTAGCAACTTTTTGATGTCAGAAAGGCAAAAATTCGTTTAAAGTGAAACTATTCAATTTGCTTTCAGCGAACAACACATGAAGCGGCCATAATAGCATTATCCGGTATAGGGTCTCCGGTTTGGATAATCTACTTCCGGCGTTGTGCGCATGCGTGTTTGACGTGTCAGGATGGCGGATGAAGAAATCAGCCGAGAAAATAAATGAAAATGTTTCTTTTTAATCGACAAAATAGCGAAGAGACAACTATTTTAAACTTGCATTAAGAGGATAAAAAGGAGTAAATATGTTCCGAAAACTTATTAAAAAAATCGAACAAGGCGTGACCCAGCCTCAGATGCGAGTCACTGCTTCTTCCGACACTGAAAGTGTAAGTTTACGGTATTTTTTTTTCTTTTTGCACACCCTGTTATGCCTGTTTGGGTGTGTTGTTATTTTATGGAATCTTTTCATGATTAAAACTTTATAAATTAAATTATGTATGACATCACAGATCCGAGATTGATTTTTAGATTAAATTAAAAGCAAACTTTAGTTCTATATTTATTTTTTAAATATATACCAAGTTTTAATTGAATATGTCGTCCTGAAATAATATTTCCCTGTCGTCTGCACCTTCCATTTTTTTACCCTTTCCAGCTGTTACGAATAATAATAAAAAAAATATTTGCAATTTCATACACTGTCTCCTAATTACGGCTTTTTATTTTACTTTTTGATCTTCTGATAGCCTTTTTAAGAAAATTAAATTAATACCATTTTGAGACGTACGAAGTGTAACCACTTTTACCTTTTCTTTTACTAATCAGTCAGTCTCTATTCATAAGTTAAACACATGTCTTTCTTGTTAGGTAAAAATAACGAAGTATTTTATTATTCATTTTGGTCAGTATTTTGTTATGTTCGAAACCAGTTTTTGCCACTGGATTTTCTAGGTTTTTTTTACGATTTACATTTATCAGATAATTAATTTAAGAGAAAAAAGTACAAGAAAACTAGAATTTCATTATCGAAAAATAATAAACACCTGTTGTTTTTCGATTAGTTACTGTCTGTCTGTTTTTTGTTTAAATTATCAAAATAAAGCTAAATTGAAACTTATTTAACGAAGTTTGCATATTTTTTAAACCTATCTAATTATTTGCTACAAAATATAAATTTTCCTTTTATTTTAATTTTTTTTACGTAATTATGAGATTTTTATATTGTTTGGAAAAATTAAATTTAGAGAATTAATAAAAAACAAACTTTAAAAAGTTTAGTTAAATGATAAAAAATAGGTGTTTGGTTGGTTGGTTGGTGGTACACGCCCGAAACGAATTTGTTGAGTGTAAAAAAAAAAAAAAAAAAACTTAAAAAAATGATCATAGTTCGTTGTTTGTTAGGAAAATTCAGGTAATGATGTCTATGCGCTTCACTTGGGAAAGGCATGAATCCGATTCTCCCTGCATTTTATTTTTGCCCTATCGTCACCAAATAATGATAGTTGACAGTAGTGGGTAGAGTTTTTCTTTTCTTTTTTTTTTTAAATAAGCACTTGCGAAAATCATTCCTTCATACCCGCTCCCAGGTAGCAGAAGAAAAAAATAATTGATCCCATGCCCATCTGACAGGGACCGGTCGGTCAATCAATATTCAATACCTTTCTTTTGGTAGACAAGGCTGATCAAGGAAAAGTAATTTGATTTTTACGAAATTAATAAAATCTACTAAACTACAATTTTAAATATAATTAAAATTAAACAACAAAATAATTATAATATAAACTCTGATCGAGACCACATACGTAAATTACATCAACAAGTCCGTATTGATAAATAAAACAGTAAATGACAAATGTATTTTTCTGTATTATTCTTACTCTCTTTCCTTGTCAATATTGTAAATGTACATTGTACTTTAAGTAGTTCGATCGCATGGATTGAACATTTAATTGAAAATTTCATATCAAAATTCAGCTAATGACTTTCAGACTATGGACTTATCCACTTTCGTAGATACACGTGAAAATCAATTTTATTAAAAAAAATAAATGAACTTTCAATAAACCTTCCTTGGGTCATGAAAATCGATCAAGTACTTAAAAGTTAGATTAATTAAAGAATTTAATTTAACAATTATTATTTTTCCTTTCTTTAAATATTTTTAGCCGGTTCAATCTCCATTCTTCTGGTGTTTGGCCTGGATTGTAGCCTGCAATTGCAAAGTAGTCCAGCCAGAAAAACGAACGTTACCAAATAAGACACCGTTTCAATTTGGGTTAAATAGACATTATTGTTGTGGATATTATTGTGAAATTTGCAGGCTACACTGGAAAATATCGATTACCATTATTTTGGTTTGGTGCTTTCTAAAAGCTCCCCGCCTCCTCCTCCTCATGGCATGAATTTTCAAACTAAAAACCACATTACCTGCAGTCATACGGATATACACACGTCCTCCGCTATTTAAGCTCAAATTCGGACTTGAATCTTCTCCACCCGAAAAAACGTTAAAAAAAAACATTTATAAACTAAACAGGAACATACACACGTCATACAAGAAATAATCCCAGCATAAAATAAATCAACATTTTCAGTTATTAATTGGAGTAATTAAACTCTGAACTATTTGAAGCCTGCTCCTTGAACCATGGAAGATTTATTTTCTCTCTCACAGGTATCACAGATTCTACAAATACGTTTTGTACTTTGAATGAGATGGAGTAGAAAAATATGATTCACTCAATCATCAATATTATTGAGTCAATAATCACTGACTGCTTTGTTTTAATAAATTTCTCTGACCTTTGTTTCTATCACGAACCTGTAATTTCCAGTCTTAAAAAAAATAAGTTCAAAAAAGACTTACAATGAGAATTCTTTGGTAGGATGATAATGATGTATTAAAAAACTAAAAGAAACCTGTTATTATTGAAATGTGTCTACGTCATTCGTGGTCGAAGATCAATAAGTCTGGGTCCAGAGGACCTGTTGTCCCAGGCAGTACCTCCCCAATGCATTAGCTCAGGACTTCCCTGTTCGAGCGAACTGAATAACAATTGTTGCTCTATTCTCCGTCTTACACTAAAAATGCCCCTACCTTGTACTTGTAGCAATGAAGTGGGATGATTTTGTTAGTTAATGTTATTCAACTGCTAACGGACTAAGTGACGTTTTTTTCTCGACATATATCCAGCCATTGCTTAATAATAATCTTACTTTAAAAAACTCAAAACATTAAACAGGGTTTTCCACCTATTTTATTTTTTAAGTAATGTATGACAAATAACAGTAGCACACATAGTACACTAGTAATAATTTTCCAATCCACATCGTTACGACTGAGACACTTAGACAATTATTACAAGTACCGCAACTAGTTATTTTCTCTTATTTTTTTCTAACGAATTAAAACATGAGTTGTAATTTATTTACTGTTTCAGTTTATAAAAAAATTTAAAAAAATATTTGTTAGTGATGAACAGTTCTGTTTTATTTAAATTTTTTATCTTGAGGTGTAGAAATTCTAAAAAACATAAAGTTAATTAGTAATATTTTTTGCCATTAATGTTTTTTTGTATTATTCATATAAAAAGTTAAATTATTATAAAAACTCACTGAACTATGACATCAAGAAAAAGATGTTGATTTCTATGCCTTCATACCAAACATTTTCTATTTAATTTATTGTTTTCAATAAGCCCAGTAAGGCGAAAGTTAAAGTGGGGCTGCAAATGGACAAGAATAGTTATTATTTAGAATAAAAGACCAGAAGTTGTGGAGTGCTATGATCGCCTACATTCTGAAAAAAAAATTAAAAAAAGCCTAGTATGAAGATTTAAATGACCTGTACTGAAAAATATCCTGTTGTGGTCATTTCAGACCAGCATACCTAAAAGAGTACTACTCTGCAAATTTCATGATGACCTAGGCTATTTCTGAGTAGTAAACCTAGTTCTTTTTAAAAATAGATAGCTTTTTTCTGTACCTACCATATACCCTCCAACATGCAGCCTGAGTCCTAATTTTGACTGCTCTTTCCTCTTTGTGACTTTCTCTCTTTCTCTTCTTAAATCACTTGAGACAATGTTTTCTTTGTCTTCCCCAAATTTTACTTCATGAAAATGATATATAAGCAAACCGTAATAACTATGAAATATCTAAGAATTTAAAGTCATTCTTTGTCATACATAGCATTTCCTCTTTCGCAATTTATTTTGGAAGAGTAAGAAGACTATTGGAGTTTTAGTACTCTGTTTTTTACATTACATTTTTTTTATCTCAAAATATTAGAAATGCTTTTCTTTATGAAGCAGTTGAATAGACTTTTCTTTCCATGAATTAGTTGCAGTGAAATATTTTTCTACTTTAAATCCTGTTGAACAACAATAAAGAACATTCTTTATAAATAGAAAATAAAATGCACTGAATAAGGGCAAACATAAAAAAATAAAAAAATAATACACCTAAATTTTATAAAATGTAATAATTTACTTTGAAAGTCTGAAATGTTTTTTTTTTTTTTTTTTGTAACATAAGTAGTGGCCACATATCTGAAATTTTTGTGAAAAACTTTAAAAATTTGTATAAATTAAGATTTGGTAAAATGAACAAATGATATAGATTCAAATTATAGAGGACGTTCTTAGAACATTTTAATCTATTTCATACAAAATAAAATTTCTTTTAAATAGAAATTATTAATAAAATATGACATCCCTACTGAGTGGATACCAATTATTAATTTAATTATTATTCAAAAGATAGAATTTACTTACATAACATTTAAAACATATATAAAAATATTCATCTGCAAAGTTTCAGCTTTTATACATAGTTATTAGAAATTTTGTGCTCTTTATTTAACATGCTTTCAAATAGAATTTAATATTTTTGGTTAAATATTCACACACATCCTTGTCTTTAATACTCAGTCTGTGCTTTTAGTATAAGTAGGAGACAATATATCAGGTAGTTAATCATAAAAATCTTCCATTGTTTAGTCTATTTCCAGTTACACAAAAACTTTCTCTTAAAAAAAAAAAAAAAAAAAACTTGATAATATTTGTAAAACACCTCAAAAATTCTGGAATATAAAATTTTTTATTTTCATTTAATTTTCTTTTTTTTTCCTTTGCCTTTTGGGATGTGTTGAATATTTTGACACGGCACAAGACTTTACACTTCTCATCCTTCCATCAAAGTAATTCTAATATATCACTGACAAATATTAATAAAGTCTAAGGTTTGTTCTTGTTTTAGCTTCTCTTGAAGTTGTTCCTCCTTATTTTACTAATTTCTATTTTGTAATAAAAAAGACAAAAAAAGCACAGTACTTAGTCATTCTTGGCTTAAGAAAAATTCTTATTTCAAAACATTGCTAAAATAT